AATATGCAGATGTAAATCAGGAGTTTTTTGTTTTTTTAAATGTTTAATTATTATAAAAATAAATAGATGATAGAAATTAAAACCTGCAAAATAAAACAGCTGAATATGAAAATGAGGAGAACCTGACCGGCATAAATCATCAGATCATGATCAGAAACTCTGCTATTGGAAAACAACTCTTCACCTCCTCCTCTTCCTCCTCCTCCTCACCTCCTCCTCTTCTTCCTCCCTTCACCTTCGTCTCCTCCTTCTTCTTCTCCTCTTCCTCTTCTCCTCCTCTTCCTCTCCTCCTCTCTTCACCTTCGTCTCCTCCTCCTCCTCTCTTCACCTTCGTCTCCTCCTGCTCCGTCACCAGGCAACTGGTGTCTCCTCCTCCCTCCCCATGATGTCCGTCTCTCTCCCTCGTCAGAACCAACTCCAGCGGATTCAAGAAAAGGTTTGATGGCGTCAGATTTAAACTAAAACGATGGAGCAGCGAACGTCTGTTTTCAAACCGATGCTGGAATTCTAGCAAATCAAACTTCTAATAAATTTATTCTGCTGATATTTTCTCCCAACTCAAATTGAACCTGATCTTTTTTTCTCCATGGGGGATGAAACAGCAAGAAGTTAGCCTGGTTGCTACGGCGACCGCTGGGAGGCAGGAAGTGATGCTTCTTGGCATCGGGTCAGAAATCAGCAGCGAGAAACAACCAGAGATCCTGATGAGGATCAGGACGCAGAAAGCAAGAACAAATTTACACAAATAAAAACACCATCCAACATGGACACCAGTTCTACAACTTTACAGGAAGTTACTTTATTTTGAAATCGAAGCCGTTTTGAGGAGAAGCCAGAGGATTTTCTGGGACTGCAAGAGAAAAACTTTGTTTCTGGTTCAAAGTTAAAACAGACAACAGGAAGATTAAAAACTTGACAGTCTCAAATAAACCAAAGCTGTGCAAAAAATTTTCATTTTGATTTAAAAGTGCAGCAGCTTGAATTGGAGCAAAAGTTTCAGTTTTAGTTTCCCACCAAAACAAACTAAATCTTCCTCTACTGAGGACCTCACAGCCTGTTGCTTTCAATTATTGATGAGCTGCAATTTATTTCTGCTGCCTCCATTTATTGCACAGACAAATGACCCGAGATGTGCAGATTGTTTTCTGTTTCAGTGGAAGTGAACCGCTTCCTGCAGCGATGCAGCAGAGACATTCGACGATGAATCAGGGCAGGTTTCCAACCATCACAACATTTTCCTCTCCAGCTTCATGGCTACAGAAGAACCAGGAAAATAGTTTTAATGATCCTGATGTTTATATTTGCATGGAAATAGATGAAGATGTACGACAGACTCAGAGTCTTAAGGGTTAGCGTTAGCTTTGCAAATTTTAAAAACTGTTTAGCGTTTTAGCGTTAGCTTCCAGTAATTTTTGTGTGTTTAAAGTTAGCTTCTGCTAATTATTTACTGGCTTTGCAGTTTAGCGTTAGCTTCTGCTAAAATCTTTTACTGTTTTAGCAGTTTAGCATTAGCTCCTGTTAATTTTTCAGTGTGTTTAGCAGTGGACTGTTAGCTTCCAGTGAATTTTCTGTGTTTATTATTAGAGCAAGCAAATTTTTTGAATGTGTTTTGTGTTTTAGCGTTAGCTTCTGGTCAGTTTTATGTGTTTAGCAGATTAGCATTAGCATAGCTAATATTCTTGTTTAGCAAATTAGTGGTTAGTGAACCAAACTTTGTGGTTAATTGTGTGATTTTAGCGCAAACATTTATTACCATTACAACAGCCATTAGCAGCCATTTTGAAAAATGATAAAGGAAACAACATCAAGAAAATATTCATAATTTAAATTTATTATTTGAAACCAAACATTCATTTCATTGGTGATTCTATTTCAAACATTAGCCTCCCTGATGACCACGGCAGCCATCTTGATTTTTTTCACTGGCTAGAGGTTTTTTCCACTTCCCCTTGGAGCATCTGTATCTGCATGTAAAAGATTTTTCAATTATCTGCTCCACTAAATCCAAACCATGACTGTGCAGTTCATCAAATTTATCGTTCAACTTCAAGTTCGGCTCCGAAGACTAAAAAACCCATAACCATTAACACACAATTAGATTTGATTTCATTATTTTTGGCATTTCCAAATGATTCTGTAATGTCTCCTGACTGATCCTATAATGTTATTTCCACTTCTAGACTGGAGGGTTTTATTTTATACATGGGAAATAAGATTTAAGATAGATGCAATAACATCAAGTATTCCCTCATACAGATTAATCACAGGATTCTCCTGCAGATGTCAGAAGAGCGAAGCCGTCCGTCATAAATGGCTGCAATCCTGCGATTTCTGAGAGGAATAAAAGTGGCTGGCAGACAGAATGTGATGCTGAACTGATTTACTGTCTGAATCCATTGATCGTTTAAAGCTTTCAGAGCTTCCTCTGACAGAACAACCAGGATTATCTGCTCCCTCTCTTCACAGATGAAACCATTTCATTTGCTTGGTGTTTCCAAACTGCATCTGTTTCCGCAGACTCGCTCTAAATGGCTCTGCAGGAAACAAGTCAAAGCTGTTCAGGTTTCCTGGTTCCCTCCCAGCTCAACCTGAGAAAAAACATCCAGATTTTAACCTCAACCTGGATCCAAACAACAAATCAGGTCTGAGAGGAAACCAGCTGTTTCTATTCACTGTAAAATTACACAAATTAATTCAATTCTATTAAAATAAACATTGTTTTTCAATAAACATCTTCAGCTCATCCCAGCTTTATTTGTATTGGTACATTTTGAAACAATGGAATGAAAACACATCAAACGCGTCACATGATCAATGACAGGATGTTACTACTGCTGGAAACGACAAAGAAGACCAGCAGGAAGTGGTTGGATTATGGTGGCGCCGCATGTTTTTAATGGCTTATTTAATGCAAATACTTTAACAGATGAAGAATTTCTATGACATATAAAAAACTAAAACTGGATCATTTTGTCATTTTTCTTGTAAGAGTTATAAAATCACTACTTTATTCTAGTAATTTTATGACTTTATTCTCATGATTAAAGGACATAATTATCTCAGTCTGACATTATAGTTAGTAGAGTTGAGCTGAACAGAAGCTATAATATTTGCATGCCAAACAAGCAGAACCGCAGGTTAAAATGGCCTAGTCAAAGTCATCTGTATGAATTGAAAATGAATGTTCACAGATCTGATTGAACTAGAGCAGCAAAGACATGCCACACTTCTCAGATCTTTACATTTCTGAGGCATTTATGGAAATAAATTCTCATCAAGTTTGTCAACGTTCCAGTTTTTACGGATCTCAATTAATTAATTAGTTGAAATGATCGGATCAGGAAGTGTTTTTGTTTTTTGGACTCGTTTTCTCTGCCAACCAAATGGCGTCTCTGCTGCCAGATCCTCGCTGCAGGAAAGCTCCTCCGTCTCCACGCGCCCCACTGCTCCTGGTCGATACTCTGCAGGGGGCGGAGTCAGGCTGAGGGAAAGGTCACGTCCTCCGGCCTAAAGGTCACCGAGGCTCATCAGAGCCGATGGCGATAAAAACCTCTGGTTCGTAAACGCGTTGCCCCGGCAACAGCCTGGTCAGAGCTGAAGGTCTGCAAAACGCCCCGGACGCTCACGGCTCCAGATTACCACCGAACGACTCGGCATGCCGCCTGGCGAAAGGTTAAAGGTCACGACAGCCCAGCTGGAGAAGAAACGAGTTTCAATGGTTTGATGTGAGAAAGTGGCGCCATGGCAACGACTTCTGGGACAATTCACGCAAAAAATATGATGAAAAATGAATCAACCAAAACCTTTTCATGACGTTTGCATAAAATTACTGAATCAATTAACTAATTATTTTGATGCACCTGCAGTTCCTTTTACGACCACCAGGAGTTCTTTGGTGAAACCTGGATACTGAGATCTGCTGAAATCTGGTTACATAATTTAGACCTAAAATATACAGAAAGACAAGGAACAAAGGTGCTTCACACAGCTGCACTTTTGCCTTCCACTCAACTTTCCATTAAAAAGCTTAGAGAACGTTTTGCTTTTACTGAACTTATTAACTCCAATGACATTCAAAGTTATTTTTAGGCGCCTGATGTTTAAAACATCCAGGAATCATTTTGTTGTTTATTAATTCTTTGCATTTTAAATTTCCAACATGAATGAAAACGACTCAAATATCTGAGATCTGGATCTGCTGCAGCTTGTTAACAATGACATCAATATCAACCGAGAACATCGCAGAACAACGTGGACCAGAGTCGCTTCACACTGATACATCACAGTAAACACTTTTTCCTTCCACTTAACTTCTGATTGTAAGCTTAGATGCAGCTAACGAAACAAACTGCTTCTGTAGAAATTGGATTTCCTGGATCTGAAAGTATTAAGATGCAGTTTATATTTATAAATGTTTATATTGCATGTTTGTCTTTACAAACATTTAACACCTTTGTCAACAAATACATAATTTTCCCCTTGGAGATCAATAAACTATATTTTATTTCCTGACCTTTTCTGCGTGCGTACAGAGAACAGACTTTTTTCTTCCACTTAACTTTCCGTCATGATGCTTCTTTACAGCTGCAGGAACAAACAGCGGTTCGTCTTGTTCCCATCCTGAAGTATTTATATGTGTCCACATTGGAAAAGTTGAATTAAATGTAGATTCAAAGTTAATGCGCAACACAAACCAGACAACATCTCTGCCTCCCACACTTCATGCAAACCGTGTGGACACTGTGGACCGTGTGGACACTGTGGACCGTGTGGACACTGTGGACCGGAGCCGCTGGCTGCGCTTTGCATGTGAAGCTGATAATGAAGCCGCTCAGGCTGCGGAGAGCTCTGCTCTCCTCTCCTCCAGCAGCAGCAGCAGCAGCAGCAGCAGCAGCGCCGCTCAGGCTATGACTCATCCCGGCTGCCAGTCACCGGTTCTGGGCTGGGCTCGACCGAAACGCGTCGCGGAGCAGAACCCAAACACACAGAGAGCCGCTCACCTTTGTTTGCCGGGAACTCAGTCAGATGCTCCTCGCAATGCGCGCTGCTGCCTGGCCGCTCGGTCTGCGCTGCTCTCTCCTCCGGGACGTCGCATCGCTCCCCCGGTTCGGACGGAACCGGGCTCAGATGAAAAGCTCCGAGAGCTGCGGCTCTGGTGGATGTGGCCCCGTTCGCCTCGGGTGGGGGCCGACGCTCCAGATGCCTTCAAGGTCTTCACGCAGCCTCGGATTTCCAAGCTCTCAGCTAAAGAGGCGCTTCTCCGTTTCCATGGTGATTTAAAGGGACAGTTCTTTTTTATTAACCGTGAGGTTGTGTGAAATAGACGGTATTTTCCCACAGTTGTTTGTCACATTATGTTTTAACATCACATTGTTCATTCCAATGGTTCTGGTTCTGGTTCGCCTTGCGTTACCAGAACCAGAACCAAACATGGAACAAACTTCCAGAAAATGGTGAAAACAGCCAAAACACTGAAAACCCAGATGTTCATAGCTTGAACCATAATAAATGAAACTCTAACCAACATTTTTGAAGCATAACAATAGTCTTGGTTTGTCTTATAGATTGACTCCTCAACAGTCAATCAATCAGTTCAACTCAGTTTCAATTAACAACAAATCATCTTGAGACACTTCGTCAAAAATCATTTCAGTTGATCCTAGATACCAAACAGCTCAATCAATTATTCAAAGAACTTTTTAAAGTCAAACTTAATAATTATATAGAATCCTTAATGGGATTTAAAATAAAAAACAACCCTTCAGCCTCGCTACGAAACCAAATACAGACAGCAATCATGGGTGTCAAACGAACCATACAAAAACTTTGAAGACGTTTTCTAGTTATTATTATGAAACTACATCAATTCCAGTCCAAGATAAAATATAGATGACGGAACCAAAAGGGTTTTAAAAACACCCACGGAGCCTCAAGTGACCTGAACGGTCGAAAGTTTAAATGAAAACTGTTTGTTCTGTTTCCACGCGAGGCAGCAAAGAGGAGTTGAGGAACCAACGAAGAAGAACAAACTCCGCCTTTCCTGTCAGGAATTGACCAATCAGGAGTCTCCATTCTTAACGGTGCAGTGTGTTCCTATGGTGTGCAGCTGAGCTAATTTTGTGACAGAAAGCTAAAAACAAAACCGTTTAACCCCCCTGGCTGCCCGGTTTCCTGCTCTGAACATCTCCCGGAGGACCAGGCTCGGACCCCAGCCCACAACCGGACCATGGTTGGTGTTAAAGTGATCGGCAGCGACCCGGACTTCCAGCCGGAGTTAGCGGCCGCCGGCTCCAGGCTAGCCGTGGTGAAGTTCACAATGGCCGGGTAAGATTCTCCACACGGGCCGAGGGCCGCTAACCGGGCTCTGTGTGTGGGTCCCCTCCACCTGGAAGATCGACATTTAAAGTCGTAAAACCAGCTGGATGTTGGAATAGCTCTGATTTTCTCCCAGATTCCTGCTGCTGTTAGCCGGTGGAAGCTAACTAGCTCTGCTGCTTACAATGACTTGGCAGTATTGCAGTAAGTTAGCTGCAGAGGTGTAGCACCGCTGGAATCACCGGGTTCTGCTCTGATACACAGAAATATAAGTGATCATTTCACCAAATACTTTTTACTCTTGAGTCATTTCTTGGTTGGATACTTTTTTACTTTTATTTGAGTAAAATTATATTGAAGTAGTGCTGCTTTTACTGGTGTCCTGTTTTTGTGTTCTCTTCCTCCTCTGCTCTTATTTAATACCTACATCCTCCTGATGCTCAGATTAAAGCAGATTAGTTACCATAACTTTCTCAAACAGAACAGAAATGAACTGAATTGATTGTCTTTGGCTTTAAGAGGAATGATGACCAGTTTTCTGATGTTCTGTCTTCCCTCAGCTGCCGGCCGTGCATCAGAATAGCTCCGGCTTTTAACATGTTCAGCAACAAATATCCTCATGTGGTTTTCCTGGAGGTCGACGTTCATGTCTGTCAGGTAAACATCTTCACACATTCATCTAAATGTTATCAAGCCTTTTATGATCCCAAATATTCATATGAAGTTGTTTTAAATGAGTCTAAAAATGAACAACTTGAGGTTCTACAGGTTGAATCTGAAAGTGATTTTCCTGCTGAGACTTTTTAACGTCATTAATCCCGTTTCCTCAGGGGACAGCGGGAGCCAACAACATCTCAGCGACGCCCACCTTCCTGTTCTTCAGGAACCGGGTCCGGGTGGACCAGTACCAGGGGGCGGACGCGGCGGGGCTGGAGGAGAAGATCAAACAGCACACAGAGAACGACCCGGGAAACAACGAGGACTCGGACATTCCCAAGGGATACGTGAGTTTACGGCACCACACGGGTCCAGGCCGGTTCTGGATTATCCCCGGTTGAGTTAAGACCAGATCAGAGGCTTTTGTCCAAACTGAGTTTGGGAAAATGACACACAGACAGAAAAATCAGCTTGAACCCCAAGCAGACCAGAGACTGCTCCAAAGACAGGACTACAGCGAAGGGCATTCTGGGTAAATGCACCCCAAGCTAAAGTGCTAGCCTAGCGCTAATGGAAGAAATAATTCATGAAATCCTCTAGTTGCTAGAATCTGACGCCTCCATCTTGTTTCCATTTGGTGAAGGAGGAAGTTGCTCTCAGTGTTTTCATGTTAAAACATTATTTTGTGTTTTTATCCCAGTGGAACCAGTTAAGAACGTTGTCAGGTTCCAGTCAGCAGAGACCGGGACCGGTTCGACCTGCTCTGACCTCTGACCTCTCTGTTTGTGTCGCTCAGATGGACCTCATGCCATTCGTCAATAAAGCCGGCTGCGAGTGTCTCAACGAGAGCGACGACTGCGGCTTCGACAACTGCTTAATCAAAGACTCGTCCTGCCTGGAGTCCGACTGCGACGAGCAGGTGACCTCTGACCCCGAGTGACTGGGGATTCACACTTCCTGTTCGCTTTACTGATGACCGTTTCCTTCTCCAGCTGCTGATAACGATCGCCTTCAACCAGCCGGTCAAGCTTTTCTCCATGAAGCTCCAGTGTTCAGACTTAGGTGAGTTTTTTTTAAGGTGAGGCGTTTAAAACCCGACCGTCCTTCACGGTGTCGTCTCGCCTCAGCCCGGGCCCCGAAGGTCCTGAAGATCTTCATCAACCTCCCTCGGTCGATGGACTTCGACGACGCCGAGCGGAGTAAAGCCACCCAGACCCTGGAGCTGTCTGAGGAAGACTGCAAAGACGACGGCCTGATCCCGCTGCGCTACGTCAAGTTTCAGAACGTCCAGAGCGTCACGGTGAGAAAACCACGTCTGAAAGTTCAATGAGCTGAAATACGACCCGGTGGGTCGACTGGACCGAACCAGGCAAAGAGAAGTGCAGATATGGAGAGCAGCAGGAGAAAGAACTAGATGAGGAACACACAAACTCCACCTGCATCAGCTCCATTTACTGGAGAATGAAGCTCCTCAACGGGCTGTAAACGGCCCCCGAGCCGCACTTTGGACACCCTGATGTGTCTAATGCATTTCCTGTTTTCCTTCTGCAGCTGTTTGTCAAGTCAAACCAGGGAGACGAGGAAACGACAAAGATCAACTACCTGACGTTCATCGGCACTCCGGTCCAGGCCACCAACATGAACGACTTCAAACGGGTACGGAGCAACAAACCTGCTGCTATGGAGGCTTAAAGCTGCCATACGGAGCAACAAACCTGCTCCTATGGAGGTTTAAAGCTGCCATACAGAGCAACAAACCTGCTCCTATGGAGGCTTAAAGCTGCCCGCTCAGCAGAGACGTGCTCATGTTTTCATCTTGCAGGTTGTCGGGAAGAAAGGAGAGAGTCACTGAGGGAGGAAGAGCAGGATGAGGATGAGGAGAGGCTGCAGAAACAGTCGAGGGTTTTTTCCTTCTGCCAAAGGAGAAGCAGGAGAAGAAGAAGAGGCCTCCAGCGTTCCTCCTGTCGCTCTCACCGGGCGCTCCGTCTGTCAGTCGTTTATATTGTAATTCTGTTGAAATCGCTGTAAATAAAACACAATCTGTTTTCAAAGGCATGCGCTGCTGGTTTGCTTCAGTCTTAAACTGTTCATTTAATGTTGGTTTCAACATAAATGTTATGGCTACAAAATCATAAACCACAACCGGATCTGAGCTTGTTGTTCACAAAGTGCTGTATTTAAGAATATCAATGGGAAATTAAGTGGAAGGAAAAAGTGTGATAGAAAAAAGTCAGAAGCAACTTGCAGGTACTAAAGAGAATTAGGCTCAGAGCTCAAACGTTTAACAAACTAAATATTTAGCTCCAAACTATTTCGTTAAGCGGGTCGAACCGGTCCCAGTCTCTGCTGACAGGAACCTGAGAACCTGAGAATGCTAAGTATTTAGCCCCAAACTAGATACTGAGTCAGCAAGCAAAATATTTAGTTTCAAATGAAATATCCAACAACCCAAATATTTAGCTACAAGCTAAATGTTTGGCTCCAAAACTGAGTAAAAATGAACGTTTATCTTTTTCTTTATTAAAAAAGGCCTGTTTAAAGAACCTGTCGTTCTGGCTGTGGACCATAGGGGGCGCTGTAGCCGCTCTGTCCTCTTCCTGGTGTCTGGCTCTGAAAGCGGCTCAGAAATGGCGCAGTCAGAACCGAACCTGGAGCAGGAGAAGCTCAGCTGCTCCATCTGCCTGGACCTGCTGAAGGATCCGGTCACCATCCCCTGCGGCCACAGCTTCTGCCTGGCCTGCATCGGGAGGTTCTGGGAGCAGCGGGGCCCCAGCTGCCCGCAGTGCCGCCAGAGCTTCAGCCCGACGCCGCAGCTGGTGCGGAGCACCGTGCTGGCGGAGCTGGTGGAGGAGATGAGGGAGAGCGGCCCGCGGGCCTCTGAGGGCCCGCAGCCTGCGGGGTCACAGCGGGGGTCACAGCAGGGTGAGCCGCTCCGGGTCTCCATCATTTCCACTCATTCTGCTGTTTGTTTCTGGATTTAAGTTAAATAGTTTTTACAGTGTTTGCCAGTATTGCGTCATGTGACGTCACACCTCCGTGAACTTTGGCTCATGTTGGCAGGCAGCTGATATGAAAGAAGAAACAATATAAATGCATTACAACCAGAGTTTGGTAGCAATTAGTTACATTGACTGGAGTAATTGTTAAAAATGACATTATTAGTATTTTTTCTTTTATTGAGTATTTCATTATGACGTTTTGTTACTTTTGAGTAAAATTTCTGGATTTTTAACCCACTGAATGAAAAACATGTTTAAACCAAATATTCACCAGATAA